TGGAAAAAGATGTCAATAAGTTGAATTAAAATTTGTTGAAGCAGCAAGGTTATTCCTTTCATCTTCTGCTTTTGATTGAAGTTTTGATGGCTCAGCATCATGCCATTGAATTCTATAATGGAAGTAATGTAACCTCTTCTTGCGGAAAGGAAGAAACACGTGTAAAAGTGAGAGTTGCGCACTACTTCATGGCCACAATCCATGTCATAAGTTTTTACAGATTCTATTGCTAAGCATAGGCAAGTCATAAGTTTTAACAGATTCTATTGCATAGCATAGGCAACTAAGGTATATAACATTGAACCAACCATTCAACTCGGCAATGCTCCTCCAAGAGGTATAGTAACAGAAAGAACATAAAAAGGAGATAATGGCTCGCATCATAGATTAACAGGCAAAAGGTTACCTTAAACTCCTTGTTTTCTTTGTTAAATTGGATACGGAGACAAACTGTGGCCAAAGAAACCAAAATGTGTCAGCCTCCCTAGATGGAAGAAGAAATATACAGAGACAAATAATACAATATAATTCTGCTTACCAGCAAGGACTGCAGTTCCTATACAAGAAAACACTCCAGAGAGAAAAGAGTTGAAAGGAAATGATCCAACTATTGCCATGTAAACGACCTGATCACCAGTAACATAGACCAGGAATACTCAAAGCTTGAGAAAATAAAATGGCCAAGTATTCCTCCTCCCCCCTTTTTCCCCTCTTCCATTCTCCCCAAAATAAAAACAAAAAACAAAAAAAGGGACAAGGGTCTCTACATTGCTGAGCTGCATATAATGTGGATTTCATGCTTAGAACGAAAAATGATTCAACTAACTAGCACCGAATAACTTGAGCAAAGGGTTTATTTGGTATGAATTGTGGATTTTATGCTGTCAAATGCAGCCTACTTCTAATCAGATCAATCATCAAAATACAAAGCAAAAAATGAGCTTCCCAAACAAAATTAAGTTTTGGCCTGGATATAATTCAAGAATTTAGCCTTGTTTCTCTCCCAATTAAACATTTGGGAAAATAAGAAAGATCACTGCTTATGGTTAATCGAATCAACTAGTACACAATGTGTACTAAAGGAACAATACATAATTCACGATCATAGTCAACAATGAGCAAGCTAATCAGTGACAAGGATTGCAGATACAGGCAGATTACCTGAATCAGAGCGGTGAAGACCGCGAACATTACATACAGATCGATGATCTGAAACAGACGAGCTCCAAATTCAGATTATTCATTGAAAGCAGTATATATATATATATATATATATATATACATACATACATACATACATACAGAGAGAGAGTGACCTTGAGGTTAGAGGGAGTGATGGCGTAGGCAGAACTGAGAGAGCGAAAAAGGGCTTGAGCGTCCTTGGAAGCCGACGATCTCGACATTCTCTCTCTCACCGTTATTTCATCTTCTTCTTCTGAACAGGGTCGTCGTGACACGGGTCCGGCTCTGCTGGGTTACTTTTTAACAGATCAAAACGGCGTCGTTCTCTAACAGAGAGGTTTTCTTATTACAGTCCTCAAAAAATTAGTAAATAATTATTATTTGTTTGCTGAAAGAACCAACGGCCTATTAGCTCAGTTGGTTAGAGCGTCGTGCTAATAACGCGAAGGTCGCAGGTTCGAGACCTGCATGGGCCATCCTGCCGGATTTAAATCTTTTTCTTTCCTTTCTGAAAAAAACTGTGGTGCTGTCCGGAGGAAAATGAGTTAATGGAACGAACAGAAACCTCAACTAAAAAATATCCTAAAAAAAGATGTTCGGACCAACCTTGGCACTCCACTTTTCGGAAGTGTCAAAGAGTTTTTGAAGACTTAAAGCATTCGGTGATTGATGACCCCCGTAGTTGCTAGATTACACTAAGTCCTTTGAAGTACACACGGATACATAAGATGATGCCATACATGAAATAAAAATTTATTTAATGTGCAATAAGTGTTAAATACTAATTCACCTCATTTATTATGAATATATGTCAATCGTGTCAATTATAAAATTGTACTGTGTCGAGTTCGAGTCGTAATTATGTTATTGGTCAGATTGACAACCCCCAATACCAATGCCCAGCACCTTGAATATAATTCTCTTATAAACAAAATCATTAGTTCTAGGAAGAAGAAGAAAAAAAACTAATTAAAAATTAAATTAGTCGTAAGTGGGCGCATGAGAGAGATGCTGATGGTGAAGTGGAAGAGAAAAAAAAATAGAACACTGATGTGAGGTGACGAAAGGAAAAATGTTTTTCAGTTTGCAGGAAAATGAAAGAACAAGATAATTCATCTTTATATTTAAAAAAAAACTAAATTATAAAAATTTTAGGCTAAATATAAGAGATAAAAAATAAATTCTGAGGAAATATATATAATTACATGTAGTTATAGATAATTAAAATAAAAAGAGAAAATGAGTATTATAAATATGGACATCAAACTCCCTTCCCCTCTTTTTATTAATGAGAGAATTACACCAAGACTTTCTAAGATTGGTTATTTAATCACTCAGATTCTCTGACGTTTGAAATATTATACACAGATTCCCTAAAATTTGTACACACGGAACACTTAGACTTGCCGTCAATGTCAGTTAATAAATTATATTCAGACCCCCTTAAGTTAAAGGGGTGTAATACTTAAATTTTACAACCAAAATTCATGTTCTATTATACTCCCTCTGTTTCTAAATATCTGTCGTTTAAAGTTTTTGCATAGGGATTAAAGAAGCTATTAAATAGCTCTAATATGAGTAAAAATATAATTGCACAAAACTAAAATATTCTTATTCAATACGTATTGGGAAGAAAAAGAATATGAAAAACACTTAGCCTCTACCTAATCTAATGCATTGAAAAGTTAAGGGTAAATTTAGAAGAAAAAATATTAATTATATTTTGGTTTCATTAAACGATAGATATTATGAAACAAAAAAATTGTGTAAAATAACAGATATTTAGGAACGGAGGGAGTAATATTTATTGAAATAAAATCAAAAAATAAAATTTTAATTTTTTCTTAAAAAATCATAATTAATATACAATTATACTGTCTATTAGAATTTAATTTGGTCGTTTAAACGACCAAATTAAACTAAAAAATTACCCCAATTAAAACTATAATATATTGTTTCCATTACATTTTGATCTCTTGTTTAATTTTTTAGTTTTATTCCAATAGAAAGTAGAATTGTATACTAATTAAAAAAAAATTTAAATAAATTTTTTCTTTTGATTTTACTTTAATAAATGACATAATAAAATATAAATTTTATTGGTTGTAAAATTCATGTTTTAGTATGAAAGACATAGACCCTTTGTTTGATTTTTAAATTTGATTACAATAAATAATATAATTGTATATTAATTATGATTTTTTAAGAAAAAATTGACTTTTTATTTTTAATTTTATTTCAATAAATGATACAATAGAACATAATTTTGGTTTTAAAATTTAAAATATTTGATATTTTATTTTTAATTAAAGTATTTTTTATTTTAGTATAATATTTTAAATTTTAGAGATCTAAATATTATACGTCTATAAATTTCAAATGATTTAGATGTAATTTACTAACAAATATATTAATGGACATTTGACGGCAGAGGTCTAAATGTTATTTGCGTACAAAATTCAGAGGTTTGTGTGTAATATTTTAAACGTCAAGAAATTTAAATGATTAAGTAACTAATCTTAAAAAATCTGAGTGTAATTCTCCCATTATTAATGGTATAAAATTAATATTGACACCAGAAAAGTGGCTGTCATCATCCAAAATTATTTAAGATACTCATGTTGGCCATAAACATATCGATAGACTAGCAAAAACTCGAGTTCAACGTAAAATTCGAGTGTCAAAAAAATCAATCACATTCTTTAACAATTATTTTCCTTTCCTTTCCTTTCCTTTCCTTTCTTTAATTATATAATTTGAAATTAATTTCTATTCATTCTTTTTTAAAACAAAAATCAATAAAATATTCTCAAAATACATAACCTCAAAAAAAATGCAACATATACACATTTTCGTATATGAACAATGTTTGAAATAAAAATAGTATTTTTGAAAACAAAAATCGATAAAAAATTTAAAAATATATGACCTCAAAAAAATAATTTAGCACATGTACACTACCGTAGATGCACAAATTAATCAAAATATACGACATATGACTAACCACTGTGTCACACTGCCAGAATCATTACTGAAACAAAACACCACGAAATGGAATCATAGCATGGATTAGTTCACATTACAGTTTGCTGTCAAAGCTATAGTTATACTTCAAAAATACATTGTACATATATCACTTGGGTTTGTGTAAATATAACTTCAACAAAATTGTGCCCAAACCCATTTCGCCTCTGCTTGACATTTAGAGAAGGCTTAGCTGAGTCTTTTCTTTGTAGTCGACTGCTCTGATAAATACCTATACAACAGTAAAAATATTCAAAATGCCTGTGATGTGAGCGAGCTTCAACAGGATGAACCGATGTACAGACAAATTAAAATTTGTGTCCAATCTGCTTCACCTAGCCTTACAAACCACATTTTGCATGGTGCGGGCAAACAATTTTTTTCATATATAGTACTCATGTATGGCATATTTACAAAAAAGCTAGGAATTGATTTCTCATATAGATTCTAGGATTTTAACGGGTTGATTTCATGATGATCCCCTAAACAAATTATAGAGGGATTTATGTCTCCCCTTTCGGTCATCATTGTGGATTAAACCATGTAAAGGCAGATGCAGAGAAACAGCAGGAAGTGTATGCTGGCTGCATGGACTCAGATTAAAAAATTGTTTGTCATGTTGAATATATTTAGAGTTCCCATCTTCACAAGCCTATAGTGACAAGAAGAATTTATAAAATGACTGGATTTGATGATGAAACTGCAGTATTCTTATCAGTCCAGTGCAAGTAATTTAGGAAGAAAACAATGTGTTTAAGATTCATCCTATCGAAAAAAGAGGCTTCAAATAATACTTACTTGCCAGTATAGAACCCTGCCAAATACCAAGCATTTAAAACTGTAGTAAGATCCGTTTCAGAGCTGCTACTTTGTGCCAAATGACCTACATTGATATCCACCTCTTTCTCTTTCTCTATAGTTCAAGAAAAACAGAAAGGTCATATGGTAAGACACCATAAAACATATTCCTACTAGAGTTGCAGAAAATAAATTTCATGATTACGTTTTGAGAACTCAATCAGCAAACCAGTAACAACACGCAATAACAACTTCATCATAGAGTGGAAGATTTTCTTTTTTTATTCTAGAATGCGCACACTAGGAAAAATAAAAGTAGATCATATGTATGATTCTATATTAAAAACAGATTGTAGAGAAGTGGTGACATTACCGAAATTTTCTGAATATTAGAATAGATAACTTTCCACAATAAATTATCTTTTTGTTGGCCCAAAACCAAATCTCGCACCATTATCTAGTTGTTCACCCTCCTCTTCTTGTCAAATCAGGGCTTACCCTTTATTCTTACTTTATTTTGGTGCAATATGCTTGAAAACATAGCTTTTGATTCCTTTTATTCCCACCCTCATAAGTAATCCAGATGCACCCAAGTCACAACCAGGACTTGAACCCCACGCCTCTCAATGTTTGGGAAAAGTTACCACTCATGCTAGAAAGCTGCACTGGTGACATAGGTGTGTCTACTATCATAAATCAATTAATGTTGAGATTTGTTTGGGTTGACACCTTAACTAATAGCCATTGATAGGAGGATTCTGTCCTGTAACAGAGAAAACAGGATAGCCTATGATATAGTAGAGGACATGGCTAGTAAAGCTAAGATAGGACCAACGCGAGTCAAGTTAAGACTTTAAGCTTTGATTGTTTGATTCAGTTGAATCTTATTGAAATATTTCGAAGGGAAAGCATGTACTGAAACCAGGACTTTCCATCTTAATGCCAACATCCTCCTAGTGAGTGAGAAGAGTCTCTGGCCTTCATCTAACATTTACCATAATCCTTCATATGAAATACTGTGCATTTACTTGTGAACAGTAAGTACTCTATGGGCTCGTTTGGTTGTCGGATAATAAAAGAAAAGATTGTATTAGTTAATACTGGCTAATTTTGTATAAGCGGATAAAACACAAGACTAAATATGAGATAAAGTTAATACTTATTGTAATCCAGTGTTTGGTAGTGGGATAATAGAATTTTAATTACATATTGACCAAAAAATCATCAAATTTGTCTAGTTATTAAATGTTTTTTTTATTTGGCAGGTAAAATAGTAAATTTATAATTTAATACACTTGAACTAGACTCTAATACCACCTCCTTAGGTGATATTATAATCGGCTCAATAGTACGGCTAGAGTGTATTATTTGGATAAGCATTTGAAATAAAACTATATATAATACGTAATGCTTTTTGCAACAAAATATAAGGTTGGATTAGAGAGTTTTAATTTGTTATGATTGCTTAATAGTTAATACACTCCTTAATACTACAACCATACGATATGTATATACAATTTAAGACTGACCTATTATCCTTCTTCTCTACTATAAAGACAAGCCCCCAAAATTTCCTTTCTTGCTTTTATGAAGGCAAGCCAAAGACTCAGAAGTCAGAACCATATATGCCCAAAAATAATACAAAGTTACTGAGGATCTTGTTCCTCCACCCAACAGGAGGTATTCAGATCATAAATGAGCAAAACTGTAAGCAATGACAGTAATCATATGTAAGATGATTTAGAAAATATTATAGAAGCAGAAACAGTGAAAAAGCATCAAAAACACTATAAGCTACATATCTACAAAATCATAGGATATCTATAGAATCCAAGTATGAGTCTAACAAAACTTTAAGCAGACGTTTTCAATAATGAAGGCAATTGGACAACCCCAACCATCAACTTAGTCGGGCTTTTTAGCCTTCATTTTTTTTCCCTGCAAATGATGAAATATACACTGCTAGGGTGATAATTAGGATCACTATAATAGGTCAAATTTGGGAAATGAAAGAAATCATAGTCGGGAAACTATCAACTTGAGAAACATTTCTAGACCAATTGCCCACCATTTCACAATTCACACTAGTGCAAAATCTAATAAGCAGTGCCAGTAACGAAATAATAGTACATACAGTATTAATATTTTGGAAGAGCATGCTCACCTTCGCTTGTATTCACATCATCATTGCCAGAAGCTTTTGTTTTCAAGGAAGAAAGAGCTCTTTCAGTAGCTCCCATTGCCATTTTAACATAACCAGCATCTTCAAGAGAGAATGGCTTACTATTGACATCCACTACTGAAGTAGCAGCACAAGTTTTCTCAACAGAAGGTCCACTTAGCGAACAAGCATGTAATGAAGTGCACGGAGCCACCAAACTATGACATCCATATGGGCAATAAGAACAAACGACGGGTGGGTAAGAAGCTCCAGCTGCAGCGACTTGTTGCTCTTGATAAGTGGAGGTGGTACCACACTGCACACTAGAACCAGACCCCTGGTATTCCCAGCTACCAAACTGGTTAAGTTGCTGAAGAATATTTTGCCTCTGCTCCTCGAGTTCATAATACTTGTTCAGTAACTGATTATAATCTAGTTCAAAGTGTGTATCTGAGTACCCATTTAGCACATCTTGTGCCTGCTGACCATTTGATGAATCTATATGGGGTTCAAGAGCAAGTGATTTGACACACCGGTCATCTTCAGTTGGTGAAAGAGTAGTAGGCCCTTCCCTTTCTTTTGTGGTATTTGAAGCAACATTGCAGTTATCATTTGCCTGAATGTGTCTAGAACAAATGATAAAGAGTAACGAAAATTAGCAAAGAAACCATAACACAAAAAGCACACATATGACATTATTCCTGCATTGCATGGAACATCAAGTTGGTACACTCAATTATTTCGTTTTTAAACTTTAGCCGTCGCTTGTTCGTAGGGAAAAAAATCAAAAAATCAAGAGCGGGGAAAACATTATTTAAGTTTCTTATCTTTCTTTTTTTTGGTACAACGGTTAGAGATATTCAAGGTAGCTTACACGCACCTCGACTAATCCCCTACCCAGTCTGGTTAAAGGCAGGCCATCCACGCCAGGATTAAGATATTCATAATAAGGGATAAATCCTTCATTGCCTAGTCCCAAGGAGTTATTTAAGATTCGAACTTAAGACGTCTGAATTTACAATTCGTCCTTGTTACCTTGAGCTACCCTTGGGGTTAACATTATTGAAATTTCATTCATTTTCATTATGGGCAACAAATAGAAACAATAAGTATAGCCATAAGAAAAATAGTACATACATCCTCGCCTGCCATAACAATTTTAAAATGATATAGAAAGCCAAATTAGAAGAAGAAGAATGCCCATATGAATCTCAAATCCAATATATATATATGTCTGTGTGTGTGTGTGCGAATTCATTCCAATCCAATATACTATTTCCTATAGTTTCTAGGGAAAGTCAAGGTGCTCCTATTCAATCACAGTGATTCCGGAGCTTTTTTTACAAGCATAAGGTAGGTAGGCAGGTAGGAAATTGAACATTTTAGAGGCAAGTGATGCACATGTTCCAATGCATTCTTTGGACACTTTTTAGGGATCGCTTGCCTTCAGTCTTGTTTGTGTATGTTTTTTTAACCCACTTTTGTGTACTCCGCGTGTAAAGGCTTAACAAAGCATATGTTTTTTGAACCTCTAATGCAAATCAAGAAGTGGTTCCTTAAATCTTGGTGATAAGAACAGAAGATAACTATGAGAAAATGGTTCCTTAAAATAAGCAGAAGATAACTATGAGGAATATGTGGTAGTTGTTATTATTGTTTTTTTGTTATTGGTTTGTTATTTCTTTCCTAGTTTGTTTCCTAGATTTTAGCCTTCATTATTATATAGAAACAGAATGAGAAGGAATGAGGCAATGCCATTTTTTTTTTTGGGAATAAAATTCTGGAAAGATTCCTATTGCAGAGAGATTTTGAACTTTGTTTCCCCTCTTGGCCGTTAACGTGAGGTTGAACCAAAAGGTCTTACATCATTTTGGTATCAGAGCCCGGTTTCCTTCATAAGGAAAATTTCATTATCTCATGCCTGTGACCCGAAGCGGCAATTCAGACACCATGTCAAACAATGCAAACCAAGAACAACCCAAGTTACAACAGCAAGTCACTCAAATTGCTTCAATTTTGGAGCAGATCCCACATCGATTGGATGTACTGGAAGAATTTCGAGCTCGAGAGGAGCTACGAATTCCCAATAGAAGGGGGCGTGTTCCACCTCGTGAAAAGGAATTAGAAGCAAACGGTGGGGAAGAGGAAGATGAGCTGAACGACGATGACAACAGGGGGTTTGTACAACGTGACTTTCGTCGCAGGGACCATTATCATCAAGACCGTGGCGAGCGTGGTGCAGGCTATCATCAACAACCTCTTGATGAACTGACTAAGAGGATGAAAGTGGATGTACCAAATTTTTATAGAAAATTCGAACCCAATGCTTTTGAAGATTGGTTAACGCCCATTGAGGATTACTTTGATTAGTTTGTTGTATCAGAGGATCGAAAGGTTTGTTACGTCCGAATGAAATTAAAGGGGCATGCAAGAGCTTGGTGGGGAAGTGTGGAAGAACAATTGCGCCGTACTTGGCGTCCATCAGTTTCCAACTGGGAGGAGATGAAGGAAAAATATTTGCCCATTGATTATGAGCAAATGATGTTCGAAGAGATGTTACAATTGAGGCAAGGATCATTGACAGTCGATCAATACACAGATCGCTTCCACGAGTTGGTTGTCTGTAGTAAGATCGTGGAAACTAAACAACAAACTCTAGCTCGATACCGAACTGGACTATGTAGCGATTTGCGTAAAGAAATGTTGACTGCACGATTAATCAATGTTGAGGAAGCATATCAACTTGCGCTGCGTGTTGAGAAGCAAATGGGAATTTTGATTGGAAGGAGGATGATGTCCACGGATCCAAGGCGGGGGCGTGTGGTAAATTCTTCATTCCAAAAGCCGCCACTATTGAATGAGCAACCCAAAGGTGCAGTGATGGGAGATAAAAAAGGAAAGGCAAAGGTTACTGGTGAAAGGCTGCAATGTTATAAATGCAAAGGTTTTGGGCATTATGCTGTTGTGTGTCCTACAAGAGATAAGAAACTGGCATTCATCTGTGAGAAGGATTTAACGGTAATGGATGCCGACAAAGAAGTTGAGGAGCAGGAGGCCAAAGAGAGTGTTGATGGGGAAGACGAACATTTAGGTGCAACTGATCTACCTAGCTGCATGATCCACCGAATGTTGACTGGAAATAAGGAGTTTAAGGCTAATCACGAGTGGCTACGCACCAATATTTTTCATACACGCTTCGAACATGGTGGCCGAGCTTTGAATGTCATTATCAATAATGGCAGCGGCATGAATGTGATCTCCAAAGGTGCAGTAGAGCGTTTGGAGTTGAAAGTTGAATAGCACCCTACTCCTTATCGAATTAGTTGGGTTAATGAAGATAATTCAGTCTTGGTAAAGCATCGGTGTTTGGTGAAGTTTTCATTGGTTACGAAATATGTGGACGAGGCTTGGTGTGACGTGATTCCTGTGACTGTTTGTCATATGCTTCTAGGGCGACCATGGCTTTATGATCGAAGGGTTTCCTATGATGGGTATGCCAATCCTTACTCTTTTATATTTAAAAGTAAGAAATTTGTTTTGGATCCTTTGCAGATTTCGAAATTTGAGACAAAAAGAGAAGTTGTCCTGGTATTGACTATACACCAGTTCTCTCGAGTTTTATTAGAAGAACAAATGCTGTTAATGGTGGTGAGTCGTGAGGTTAAGCAAGATGATAATTATATTCCCACAGAGTTTGCCAAGTTGCTGGAGGAGTTTCAAGATATTATGCCTGATGAGATGCCAAAACAACTTCCACCAATGCGGGATGTGCAGCATGCTATCGATTTAATTCCTGGATCAACCTTGCCTAACTTGCCACATTATCGCATGAGCCCAACAGAAAATGAAAAGTTTAACCGACAAATTTAGCAGTTACTAGACAGGGGCTGGATTTGAGAGAGCCTTAGTCCCTGCGCTGTTCCGGTTCTACTTACGCCCAAGAAGGACGGTAGCTGGAGGATGTGTCTAGACAACCGAGCAATTAACAAGATCACAGTCAAATACCGATTTTCCATTCCTTGACTTGATGACATGTTGGATTTATTAAGCGGCACCTCTATTTTTACAAAAATCAACCTTGGAAGCGAATACCACCAAATTCACATCTGTCATGGTGATGAGTGGAAGACGGCCTTCAAAACAAAAGATGAACTGTTCGAATGGTTGGTCATGCCTTTCGGATTAACCAACACGTCGAGCACCTTCATGCGTGTTATGACACAAGCACTCAAACCATTTTTTGGGTAAATTTGTAGTAGTATATTTTGATGATATTTTAATTTTTAGCCACTGTTTACAAGACCATGTAGAACATGTCTTGAACAAATTGAAGACCGGACGACTTTACATAAATCAAAATAAGTATTCGCTTATGCAAAAGAGAGCCAATTTTTTGGGCTTCATAATTTCTAATCAAAGTGTTGAAACTGATCCCGCCAAGGTGCAAGCAATTCAGAAATGGCCTATACCTCGAAATTTCTTTGAGGTGCAAAGTTTCCATGGGTTGGCTACGTTCTATCGACGTTTTATTCGGGGTTTCAGCACCATAATGGGCCCAATCACCGAGTGTTTGAAAGCAAAGAGCATTTCTTGGACAGCAGCAGCTGACAAAGCCTTCACAGAAATCAAAGAAAAGATGGGGCAAACACCAGTTCTGAAATTATCAGATTTCTCTAAAGTATTTGAAGTGGCATGTGACGCCTCACATGTGGGGATTAGGGGCGTTTTGAGCCAGGAAGGTCATCCCATTACGTTTTACAGCGAGAAGCTTAATGACACTCGCCGAAAATATTCAGTATATGACATGAAATTTTATGCTTTAATTCAAACTCTCAAGCACTAGCGTCCTTATTTGATTCATAGAGAGTTTATCCTTTATACCGATCATGATTCTTTGAAGCACCTAAAGTCTCAAAGCAAGCTAAATGCTAGGCATGCTCGATGGATGGATTATTTGCAACAGTTCAAATTTGTTCTTAAGCATAAAAGAAGGACTGAAAATAAGGTGGTTGACGCCTTAAGCAGGAGACCTCATTTGCTACATATTTTCTCAGCTAATTTTGCAGGTTTTGATAGACTCAAATTTGAGTACGCCAACGATGTGGACTTTGGCAACACATGGAGTAATTTGTCCACCAATGTCGGCATATCTAATGGTGATTATTCTTTGAGAGACAGTTTTTTATTTTATGGCACACGATTGTGCATTCCTCATGGATCTATTCGCGAGTTCATAATCACGGAACTCCATGGAGGGGGACTAGCAGGGCATTTTAGGTATGATAAAACGTTTGTCATTGTCGTTGACTGGTTCTACTAGCCAAGGATGCGCAAAGATGTGCATAAAGTGGTGGCTCGTTGTCAAATTTGTCAGATGAACAAAGGAACTAAGCAACCAGCGGGACTCTATATTCCTCTTCCAATTCCGGACAAACCTTGGCAACATGTTAGCATGGATTTTGTTCTCGGGTTGCCCAAGACTCTCCGACAGCATGATTCAATAATGGTGGTCGTGGATCGATTCTCAAAAATGTCTCATTTCATTCCTTGTCATAAGACTTACGATGCTTCAAAGATTGCTACATTATTTTTGCAAGAGGTGATCCAATTGCATGGTATACCAGCCACCATAGTGCCCAATCGGGATGTAAAATTTATGAGTTATTTCTGGAAAACTTTATGGCCAAAAATGGGGACAAAACTGATGTTTTCTAGTGCCTTCCACCCTCAAACAGATGGCCAAACTGAAGTGACAAATTGGAGTTTCGAAAATTTATTATGTTGCCTTGTTGCGGATCATGTCTCTAGTTGGGATCTAATACTACCACAGGCGGAGTTTGCTTTTAGCAACTCTATTAATCGATCGACAGGGTGCACACCATTTGAGGTGATCTATGAATTTCGACCCCACACTCCCCTCGATCTCAATTCGTTACCTTTGCTTACTAGGCCCAGTGAAGCTGCGCTTGATTTTTCTAGCTATATGAGGGACGTTCATGGAGAAGTGAGGCGACGCCCCTTAATACAGAAGCATATGCAGACTTTGCGAATACGAGGCGCAAGAATAGGCAATTTGAAGTTGGCGATATGGTTCTTATTCCGTTAAGACCATAACGTTTTTCCCCCGGCAATTTTACCAAGCTACGTGTACGACGTGCAGGCCCTTTTAGAGTCGCCAAGAAATTGGGTCCGAATGCGTATGTCATCAACTTGCCCCCTAATTTTGGTATTAGCCCAGTTTTCAACATAGAAGACTTGACCGAGTTTAAGGGTAATGAAACGAAGATGTCGACAACACCAGATTTAGTAGAATTTCATGACCCCGTTATTCGTGTTCCTAAGCAATCAACTCCTAGAGATGAGATTGCATCCATCCTTGATCATCAATTCGTTACAACCCGCCGAGGGGGTTATTACAAATTTTTAGTGCAATGGAAAAATCGTCCCAAGTTCGATTCAATTTGGTTGCTGGTCACAGAACTCAAGCGCTTACACCTAGAATTATTTGCTGCCTATTTTCATCAAAACTTGCCGGAGTCAAGTTCTTCAGGGGAGCCGGCAATTGATGCAAACCAAGAAGTGGATCCTTAAATCTTGGTGATAAGAGCAGAAGATAACTATGAGGAAGTGGTTCCTTATTTTAAGCAGAAGATAACTATGAGGAATATGTGGTAGTTGTTATTATTGTTTTTTTGTTATTGGTTTGTTATCTCTTTCCTAGTTTGTTTCCTAGATTTTAGCCTTCATCATTATATAAAAACCAGAATGAGAAGGAATGAGGCAGTGCCATTTTTTTTTTTGGGAATAAAATTCTAGAGAGATTCCAGTTGCTGAGAGATTATGTGCTTTGTTTCACCTCTTGGTTGTTGACGTGAGGTTGAACCAAGAGGTCTTACATCAACCTCCTTTAGAGTACTCTGCGTGTAAAGACTGGACAAAGCTTGAATGCTCAAGAGCAAAACTTGAGGCACACCTTTGCAACAAAATGTATGAAGTTTTAAAAGCATTAAATTGTGCCCTCTTTTGGATTTCAAAGTAGAAAGATTTAATAACATAATTGTGCCCCCAAGTTAAGCCATAATGACCACGTTGAAAATCTTAACATTTAGCTTTTAAGCTATCTAATGTTTTTATTAACCATAATCGATAGAATGACAAAAAGAAAGAAAATGCTCCAACTATATACTCACCTTTTAGCTCCATGGTTTTCATCAACAAGTTCGGATAAATTTTGTTCTTTACTGCTTACGCCTTTTCCTCCCTCGACTGAGCTATTATGCCCTCTTGTGCTATGCATCTTCTGGAAAGTACAAGGGAGGATGAAAGTGAAACCATCTTATTTAGAGAGAGAAAGGCTCTCATTGCACACTTCAAATATGCAAGGGCAATATAGATAATAACAAAAAAATTCCTACAACTTGCTAGTGAAATTTTCATCCCAATCTAACGCATACAAGATATTAATTTTCCTTTCACTTCCACTTTCCATCATTTATTTCTTCCTGGCCAAACGGGCTCATAAGATAACATATATTACTATCGAAAATTCAATCTGACACATTGCAAATTTTGTATCTAATTTATAATATCATAAATATTTATTGCTAACAGGCAAAAAAACATCTGTGTATTTATTTATGTCTTACCTTTGTATGCTAAAGCCAATATAGCAGAACAAGTGTGTGTGTGTGTGTGAGAGAGAGAGAGAGAGAGACCTTGTACTTAGAGATAGCATCGTCGAAGGCGTTGATGAGAGCAGAATCATCCCAGAGATCTCCTTCCTTTCCCATTTTTCCTTCGTTGAATGGAATGATTGAAAGAATTAGTGCGAAGCTTCGGCTATGTAATTTCCCCACTACTCGAACCCTCCTTCTTTCCTACAACATTTAGTTGTTTGAGTTTTGTTGGGTGAATTATACTTTGTATCCTAAAACATTTAATTTTTTCACTTCATATCCTTAAAGATTAAATTTTATACATTATACATTCAATAAATTAAAAATGGTGTAATATGTTCATTCTGTTAGGTTTATGTTAATTTTTTCGTCAGTGTTAATGGGTTGATTTTTAATCATAAAAACAACAGAAGCTAAACATATGACCACATTATAATATTTTTGAGAAGGTATAATATGACAAAATTAATTTTTGAAAGTACAAGAGGACAGCGAAATTTTTCGGTGGCCCGTGAATTGGTTTTGACATCCTTTATTATGTGCAAATAAAAAAAAAATCAAAAATTTCAAAACATTATGTTAAAGGGTGAATTTTTGCCTCAATTTGATAAAAATATAATAATACAGTCCAAAATCACATGTTTATTAGTTCTCCAAGCACAATTTTCAGTATAGCTTTTTATATTTCTTATTTATGTGCACACTCATTTATATATTACTCAATTTAAACACTTTACCTAATTGGCTTGTTTGATAGGCGTATTTTGTGGAGATTAAATATTATATTGTATTATATTTTATTTAATCTGGTATAATACTTTGTTTAATAAATAAATTTGATGTCGTATTAATTTTAAAAACGTATATTAATCGTATACTTATCGTATATTTTTTGTACGATAAATCTGTATTATGAAAATCTTTTAATATTACTAAAAGATGTGGTATTATAATCAAACTAAAACGTATTATCCTATATATTTATTATTATAACTCTCAAAGTGATAAAATCAAGTTGTCATCAATGTAACAAACTGATTTATGATATTTTTGTTAATTCAACATAATATGATGAAACAATTCTCTAATCAAACAACCGATTGAATTAAATAACTATTATCCAATGTTTATATTGTGTATTGTTAAACACTATATAAAATTACGTATTATTTTAATAATATATTTAATCTTATTTTTTATCCATTTGTATTNAATTAAATAACTATTATCCAATGTTTATATTGTGTATTGTTAAACACTATATAAAATTACGTATTATTTTAATAATATATTTAATCTTATTTTTTATCCATTTGTATTGTATTATTTTATCTAATTCATCTATTTTTAATACGGTAATGAAACAAACCCGAAAGTTTTATAACCAAGTCTAATTGCATAGGCTACAATATTATTATTTTTTATTTCGTTGAATGTGTAATATAAAGATTTTGATCTTTTATTATATAAATTAGGANACTATGAGGAATATGTGGTAGTTGTTATTATTGTTTTTTTGTTATTGGTTTGTTATCTCTTTCCTAGTTTGTTTCCTAGATTTTAGCCTTCATCATTATATAAAAACCAGAATGAGAAGGAATGAGGCAGTGCCATTTTTTTTTTTGGGAATAAAATTCTAGAGAGATTCCTGTTGCTGAGAGATTATGTGCTTTGTTTCACCTCTTGGTTGTTGACGTGAGGTTGAACCAAGAGGTCTTACATCAACCTCCTTTAGAGTACTCTGCGTGTAAAGACTGGACAAAGCTTGAATGCTCAAGAGCAAAACTTGAGGCACACCTTTGCAACAAAATGTATGAAGTTTTAAAAGCATTAAATTGTGCCCTCTTTTGGATTTCAAAGTAGAAAGATTTAATAACATAATTGTGCCCCCAAGTTAAGCCATAATGACCACGTTGAAAATCTTAACATTTAGCTTTTAAGCTATCTAATGTTTTTATTAACCATAATCGATAGAATGACAAAAAGAAAGAAAATGCTCCAACTATATACTCACCTTTTAGCTCCATGGTTTTCATCAACAAGTTCGGATAAATTTTGTTCTTTACTGCTTACGCCTTTTCCTCCCTCGACTGAGCTATTATGCCCTCTTGTGCTATGCATCTTCTGGAAAGTACAAGGGAGGATGAAAGTGAAACCATCTTATTTAGAGAGAGAAAGGCTCTCATTGCACACTTCAAATATGCAAGGGCAATATAGATAATAACAAAAAAATTCCTACAACTTGCTAGTGAAATTTTCATCCCAATCTAACGCATACAAGATATTAATTTTCCTTTCACTTCCACTTTCCATCATTTATTTCTTCCTGGCCAAACGGGCTCATAAGATAACATATATTACTATCGAAAATTCAATCTGACACATTGCAAATTTTGTATCTAATTTAAAATATCATAAATATTTATTGCTAACAGGCAAAAAAACATCTGTGTATTTATTTATGTCTTACCTTTGTATGCTAAAGCCAATATAGCAGAACAAGTGTGTGTGTGTGTGTGAGAGAGAGAGAGAGAGAGAGACCTTGTACTTAGAGATAGCATCGTCGAAGGCGTTGATGAGAGCAGAATCATCCCAGAGATCTCCTTCCTTTCCCATTTTTCCTTCGTTGAATGGAATGATTGAAAGAATTAGTGCGAAGCTTCGGCTATGTAATTTCCCCACTACTCGAACCCTCCTTCTTTCCTACAACATTTAGTTGTTTGAGTTTTGTTGGGTGAATTATACTTTGTATCCTAAAACATTTAATTTTTTCACTTCATAACCTTAAAGATTAAATTTTATACATTATACACTCAATAAATTAAAAATGGTGTAATATGTTCATTCTATTAGGTTTATGTTAATTTTTTTGTCAGTGTTAATGGGTTGATTTTTAATCATAAAAACAACAGAAGCTAAACATATGACCACATTATAATACTTTTGAGAAGGTATAATATGACAAAATTAATTTTTGAAAGTACAAGAGGACAGCGAAATTTTTCGGTGGCGCGTGAATTGANAGGTATAATATGACAAAATTAATTTTTGAAAGTACAAGAGGACAGCGAAATTTTTCGGTGGCCCGTGAATTGGTTTTGACATCCTTTATTATGTGCAAATAAAAAAAAAATCAAAAATTTCAAAACATTATGTTAAAGGGTGAATTTTTGCCTCAATTTGATAAAAATATAATAATACAGTCCAAAATCACATGTTTATTAGTTCTCCAAGCACAATTTTCAGTATAGCTTTTTATATTTCTTATTTATGTGCACACTCATTTATATATTACTCAATTTAAACACTTTACCTAATTGGCTTGTTTGATAGGCGTATTATGTGGAGATTAAATATTATATTGTATTATATTTTATTTAATCTGGTATAATACTTTGTTTAATAAACAAATTTGATGTCGTATTAATTTTAAAAACGTATATTAATTGTATACTTATCGTATATTTTTTGTACGATAAATCTGTATTATGAAAATCTTTTAATATTACTAAAAGATGTGGTATTATAATCAAACTGAAACGTATTATCCTATATATTTATTATTATAACTCTCAAAGTGATAAAATCAAGTTGTCATCAATGTAACAAATTGATTTATGGTATTTTTGTTAATTCAACATAATATGATGAAACAATTCTCTAATCAAACAACCGATTGAATTAAATAACTATTATCCAATGTTTATATTGTGTATTGTTAAACACTATATAAAATTATGTATTATTTTAATAATATATTTAATCTTATTTTTTATCCATTTGTATTACATTAGATTGTATTATTTTATCTAATTCATCTATTTTTAATACGGTAATGAAAGTTTTATAACCAAGTCTAATTGCATAGGCTACAATATTATTATTTTGTATTTCGTTGAATGTGTAATATAAAGATTTTGATCTTTTATTATATAAATTAGGATTTCAAAAATTAAGTCAGGTAAAAACTGTCATAATCCTACTTTAGCGCCCCCCTCCCCCCAACAAAAAAAAATTGTTATTCATCATTCTTTAAAAGGTACATGTTCTAGCACAAAATTAAAAGTAGGTAAATGTTATAAATGGGTCTTAAATTACATCTTTTTTTTTTGTATGTTCTTTATATTTTAAAAAAAAATTCAAGTTACTCCTTAAACTACATAAACATTTTCATACAATTCCACGGTTAAACTAAACAACAAAAATAATAAAAAATATATATATATAGTTTAAATAAGATTCAATGATATTTTGTTTATTCGTTTCAAGAAGGGATTGGATTGATTGTTATGTTTTACCTAGTTTCAATTACATTTAAGATAATTAAACTTTGATGAATAGTTGATTACAAACATGAATTGAAAATCATGCATGTTATTTATCTAAAACTCATCACCGACAAGCTAGTTCGCCATAACATGTGAAGATTGCTCGTGAATACAGTCCACCCCTCAAAAAAATATGGAATTGTATTTGTTATTTTAAATGAAAATAATTAAAAATTTGATAAATCAAACCCTAAAAAAATGATGCATTTCTTAGCCAAGTACACATGGAGATCATAGAATTATCAGGTGTGGATAGAATTTTTTAGATTTATTTTATCATACTATAGCATTTTAATTATTGATGATGGATTTGAAACACTAAGATCAGTTTATGTCAACTTATGTTCTTTTGCTTGCCATTAGGATATGGAAATATTTCCAAAGACATAAAAACAAAAAAATAAAAAATTGACAATGAATGCAACAATTTTTTTGGTATATTAGGCTCATTTGAAGCTTTTTTTTTTTATTTGTGTGTGTGTGTAAAACAGATGTTTGAAAAGTGAAATAAAAAAATTACAGTTAAAAAAACTATTTGAACCGTTTTTGAAAAAATTGCATTTTATTTGAAAGTCCTTAGATAAACTCCATTTTTTAGCTTTTTGTTGGTGCTGATAAAAGTTATTTTTGCCAAAAAAAAATTGATGGAAAATCTTTTCAACAAGTCCGGATCCAAACCGACCAAACTTATTTTCCTCTTAATCCTCCAAAAGCTGAAGTTTTTAATCACCTCCAAGTAGCTCCATTATCTTTTTAATTTCCTATTACATATTAACTAAATAAATT